TTACGGATCTGCTCGATCGATGATTGTCGCGTTTGAAGCGTTTGCCAGCTGGTGCCATTTGAACCGAATGACAGTAAATCCTGCGAAGTGTTAAGTCATCACTTTTACCCGAAATAAAGAACCAGTTATTTTCCACTATGCTCTCCGGGACACCATTATTGAACGTGTGAGCCATGTAAAAGATCTAGGTGTCATCCTGGACTCTTAACTTACATATAAGCAACACATCTTGTACGTCGTCGACAAGTCGTCAAGGACATTGTGCTTCATCTTCAGAACAGCTAAGAATTTCTCCGACATCCATTGCCTCAAGTCACTGTATTGTTCCCTGGTACGTTCCATTCTAGAATATTGTTCTGTGGTTTGGAGTCCGAACTAAAACAATGGTACTGAGAGAGTCGAGTCCGTTCAACGCCGCTTTCTGCGATACGCGTTGAGAATGTTACCTTGGAGAGACCCGTTTCATTTGCCCAGCTATGAAAGTCGCTGCCAGCTGATCGACTTGGAGCCTCTTCGCACCAGAAGAGATACTTCAAAAGCCCTGCTTGTCGCGGACACGTTACATGGCAGAATTGATTGCATGGCAATCTTGGAGCAAGTAAACATTAACGTCCAACCCCGAATGCTTCGTAACAATGTTATGCTGAGAATGCCACTACGTAGGACAAACTAGGCGGACTGCAGCGAGTATTTAACCGAGTTTCATCAGTATTCGATTTTCACCTGCCACGACTAACACTTCGGACACGTTTCTCTTCATTCTTCTCCAGAAATGGAAACAGTCAATGATCATGTTTTAATGTTTTGTAGTTTTAACTTATGACTTTAATTTTAATTTTAAGTTAAACCATCATTGGGACCATATCGAGTCTGTTAATTCTGACAAAAAAATAAATAAAAGCTTGTTCACAAAGAGCACACAAGTGAAAAAAAAAATTCTTGGGAAGTACCCGCATTCTTTCCGATTTATTGAGGGTCCGCAAGTTTGACATCGTAGCGTTGCCGGAGGTTTGCTGGAAGGGATCGTCGGTACATACATATAGGGATGGTTATAACATCTACCAAAGCTGCGGAAATACACATGAGCTGGGTAGAGCTTTCATCGTGGTGGGCGAAATGCAGAAGCGCGTGATTGGGTGGTGGCCAATCGATAGCAGAATGTGCAAGTTGAGGATCAAAGGCCGTTTCTTCAATGTCAGCATAATCAACGTGCACAACCCTCACTTAGCAAGTGACGATGACGATAAAGACGCATTTTACGCGCAGCTGGAACGGGAATACGACAGCTGCCCAAGCCATGACGTCAAAATCGTCATCGGAGATCTTAACGCTCAGGTCGGCCAGGAGGAGGAATTCAGACCGGTTATAGGAAAGTTCAGCGCTCACCAGCTAACGAACGCCAACGACCTTAGACTCATCGATTTTGCCGCCTCTAAGAACATGGCCATACGTAGTACCTACTTCCAGCATAGCCTCCCATATCGGTACACCTGGAAATCACCGCAGCAGACAGAATCGCAAATCGACCACGTTTTGATCGACGGAAGGCACTTCTCGGACATTATCGACGTCAGGACCTATCGCGGCGCAAATATCGATTCGGACCACTACCTTCTAAAGGTCAAGGTGCGCCAAAAACTTTCCGTTGCCAACAAAATTCGGTACCGACGGTACAATCTGGAGCGACTGAAGCTGCCCAAAGTCGCAACTGAATACGTGCAATGCCTCGACGCAGCGTTGTCGGATGAGGGAGAGCTCACCGAAGCCCCTCCTGAGAACTGCTGGAGCAACGTGAAAGCAGCCATTAACAGCGCTGCTGAAGGCGCCGTTAGGTTCGTGGAGCGGAATCGACGGAACGGTTGGTTCGACGAAGAGTGTCAGACGGTTTTGGACGAGAAGAACGCAGCGCGGACGGTGATGCTGCAGCAAGGAACCCGTCATAATGTGGAGCGATATAAACAGAAGCGACGACAGCAAACCCATCTTTCCCGGGATAAAAAGCGCGAAGAAATGGAGCAGCTGTATCGTTCTCAAGGAACTCAACGCATCCCGCCAAGGCTTTGTGCTGTGAGCCGAAATGTGTCGGGATAAGGAAGGGGGTATTTTAACGGACGAACGTGAGGTGATTGAAAGGTGGAAGCAGCACTAAGATGAACATCTGAACGGCGCAGAGGCGGAGGACCAAGGCGGCAGGAGGAATGGCTTCGTCGGTACAGCGGATGAGGGGGACATGCCAGCTCCCACGATAGGTGAAGTTAAGGATGCTATCCGACAGCTTAAGAACAACAAAGCAGCTGGGAAAGATGGTATCGGAGCGGAACTTATCAAAATGGGCCCGGATAAGTTGACCCCTTGTCTGCACCGACTGATAGTCAGGATCTGGGATACAGAACAGATACCGGAGGAGTGGAAAGATGGAGTAATATGCCCAGTATATAAAAAAGGCGACAAACTAGAATGTGAGAACTATCGAGCGATCACTATTCTTAACGCGGCCTACAAAGTGCTTTCCCAGATCATCTTTCGCCGGTTATCGCCGCTAGCAAGCAGCGATGGGAAGTTATTAAGCCGATTTTGTGGACGGGCGATCGACAAGGGCCAAATCTTTACATTGCGGCGGATCCTCCAAAAGTGTCGTGAATATCAAGTCCCTACGCACCACCTATTCATCGATTTCAAGGCCGCTTATGATACTATTGACCGTGAAGAACTATGGAAGATTATTGACGAGAACGGTTTTCCCGGGAAGCTGACCAAACTGATCAGGGCTACGATGGATGGTGTACAGTGCTGCGTGAAGATATCGGGTGCGTTATCGGATTCGTTTGAAACTCGCAAAGGACTTCGACAAGGCGATGGTCTTTCCTGCCTCCTGTTCAACATTGCGCTAGAAGGTGTTATGAAACGTACGGGCTTTAACATGCGGGGCACGATCTTCAATAAGTCCAGCCAGTTCATCTGCTTCGCTGACGACGTAGACATTGTCGGAAGAACGTTTCAGACCTTGGCGGAGCAGTACACCAGGCTGAAATGTGAAGCAGAGAAGGTTGGATTAAAGGTGAATACGTCGAAGACAAAGTATCTGTTAGCTGGGGGAACCGTGCGGGATAGGGCTCGCATAGGCAGAAGCGTGACAATCGACGGAGATGAGTTCGAGGTGGTGGATGAATTTGTGTACCTCGGATCATTGGTGACGTCGGATAACAACGGCAGCAGAGAAATTCGTCGGCGTATTATTGCCGGAAGTCGTGCTTACTACGGACTCCACAAGACCCTGAGGTCGGGTAAACCTCCGTACTAAATCTACCATGTACAAGACGCTGATAAGACCGGTAGTTCTCTACGGGCACGAGACGTGGACGATGCTCGAGGAGGACCTGCAAGCATTGGGTGTTTTCGAACGACGAGTGCTTAGGGCCATCTTTGGCGGGGTATGTGAGAACGCTGTATGGAGGCAAAGGATGAACCACGACCTGGCGCAACTCTATGGTGAACACTGTATCCAGTAAGTTGCGAAAGCTGGACGGGGTACGATGGGCGGGACACGTTTTAAGAATGCCGGACAACAATCCCGCAAAAATGGTGTTTGCCTCGAATCCGGCCGGTACAAGACGAAGAGGAGCACAGCGAGCAAGGTGGTTAGACCAAGTGGAGCAGGATCTTAGAAGTGTGAGACGGTCAAGACATTGGAGACAAGCAGCCACGGACCGAGTGAATTGGCGTAACATTGTGATGCAGGTGCAATCCTGAGGGATGTCGGACCAGGATAAGTAAGTAAGTAGACTTTCGCGCTAAACTAACAAAATTGTTTTTCACATAGTCACTGTCTTGACGATGACTGCTAGTTCAAATAAGTCACCAAAGCAGGATTTTGGATATCGCCGTGTATTGTCGAGATTTTGCAGCACTGCTACTAGCTTTGATTTTCTGTGGAAGTTGAACAGCTTCGCAGCATTCTAGAACCTCAGTCGGCTTCTACAAACAAATTTTCAATCGCTTGTCTCTCTTTCTCATGTCGCTTCATTGGTCTTTCTTTCAAGCTTCGGTGAAGCGGAAGAGCGGTTGACTTTGATAGTGTCTTTTCCATGAAACACATCATGACGTATATGACGGAAAATGAAAATATACATTTAAAGCATTTTTCACATTTCTCAATATGTTTAATTTTGTTTAAAAAGTAACGAAAACGCATATTAAACAAATTGAAAGATCGGTGATAGAGAGTCGGTGAAAGGGATTGAAAGCTATAATGAGGCATCGCTTCAACTCGATAATCGACGTTACTTTCATTGAAAGTGACGAGCAAAGCAATGACGAGAAAATCCACAGCTTCGTGCGTGCTTTTTTTCATTTTCGATTCGTGCTGATGGTCTAGCTAGGCGTTATACAAATGATGCGTTGAACACATTGTATGAAAGAAACAAAACTCGAGTTCTTTTAGAGCTTCGAAATGTAGATCCCTGCCTCTGACTAAAAAAAACACACGACAGGACAGTAAATCTGAGTAGCTATGCATTTTCTCGATTCAACTACTAACATATCGGTCATGACATTCTGTCCTTCCCCTAGTGGGTAGCACAACAGCATAAGTAATCTACGCCTTTTTATATATTTTAGGCGAAAAAAAAACTAGAAAACCCAGACCAATATCTTAGCAACACTCTGGAGATATTGGTATTTAGTCTGTTACCCTTTAGGCGGAAGGGGTTAACGATTTTGGTGACAAGGTTGTCAATACTTACGGAACACTTACATTTATCCGTCTCGAATCCAGAAATAGATTTTTCCTTATCATAGGTTTTTGGTTTTTGAAATTTATAACAATACATTTTTTTTTGCATTCACTTCAGGCAAACTTCCATCGCTGTTTTTGAAATGCTCCGTTCTTTCGATTCAGGCAAATGAAGGTCTTTCAAAGTCGGACAAACGAAAAATATAGTAGGTATAGGCATCTTCTGTTCCCTTTTAACGCTAGCAGTCCCGATCCCAAATGAACTTACCTCGGAATCACCGTATCGTCGATGTTCTGGGCCACCACCGGCATCGGTTGCTTCCGATGTCGCGAAGCAAGCCAACTGAACATGTCATACTCCGACCGGGAACTGTACGGCTCGCACCGTGCCGCTCCAAACGGATTCTCCTTGATATCGTCAAAGTAATCCGCGTAGATCGACGCCACAGGCGCTCCTCCGTTCGGACATCCATCCGATGCTAGCTTCTTGTGATATTGTGGTTTGTATTGCGAGCACTTTTCAACACCCGGTAGCTGTTCCAGCAGGTACCGTATGGCGTTTGTTTTCAGACCCAACATCTGCACCCCGGCCATTTCCTCTAGTTGACCCTCCGGCAGGGGCTGCAAACCGTGCGCTTTCCGTGCAATCTGAACAGCTTCGAACAGCTTGTCCCAGATTTCAACGATCGATGTCGATTTGTAGGTGAAACCATCCTGCGATTGGATCTCGTACAATAGTTTCGGGCTGTTTGATTTGACTGGTTTTATCGAAAATGGTTGACAGGACTTTAGTTTGACTAGTTCTTCGGACTGGTATTCACTTCCGGTGAGAAGATTGCTACTGGAACTAGGAGAAGGACTTGCCACGTTCGAGATCGGATCCAGATTCTCTTTCTGCTCCGCTTCGTACCCCGAATCATCGTCCTTTTTGGGGTCGGTCTCGAAGATCGGAGGAATGATCAGCTCTGAAACGTGCGTAGAACCAGCCGGAGACGCGTGGGCACTGGCTTGTAATTCTTGGTTCAATTCGTCCACCAATTGCTGCTCTTCTTGGCTTTTCAATGGACTGGACGACGAACACAAACCGTTTTCTTCTTCAATCTTCAGTAACAGTTCCGAACTGTCCGACTCTTTACACTCACTGAACTCATCTTCTTCGTTTGTCTGCTGTTCAAGATTGTCCAGAATCTCCGAAATCTTGTTCTTGATCTCGGGCGATTCGGATTCGTCATTCAAACTGGGCGAGTCTACGCTGCCGACGTCCAACGGATCATCCTGCATGGTTTCGGCGAGCATTTCTTCCGTTTCCGTGAGCAATTGCTCGCTTTTTTCATCCATCTCCATCGGGGTGGATGGTGGTGGTAGTTCCGATTCGACGACGATTGGTTTGATTTCGATTTCGGCAATCGTTGGTGGCAGTGGTACCGAGTTGGTGGTCTCGATTGGGATTAGAGAACCGTGTTGATCGAGATTTAGGCTCAGTTGGAAAATAGGTTGATCTTGTGATAGCTGCTGTTGAACTGGTGGAGGTTCTTCGAGAACATGAAATCCATGATCTTCGATCGGCGGAAGAACTGGACTCATTTCGATTGGTTTGATTTCGATTTCCAGTCGGTTTTCTTTGAGGGGTTTGTCAGAACCGATTTTGAGACCCGGCGATTGATTCAACGTCGGTGGTTCCGGACTGAAGGTGTGACTGGGGATGATGGATATTTCTTCGATCTTGTCCGGCATGGAGTTTAGGAGTTTCAAGGGCGGTGGTGTTTGTGGGACTTCTGGCGACTTTGGAAGGATTGTTGAAGCTTGCATGGGAAGGACACGGTTCGTCGGACGGTTTTGAACGGTGCCGGATGTGGTGTTGTTGGCGTTGTTGTTGTTGTTATTGCTATTGTTGATGGATTGTTGAATCGGATTTACGACGTTGGTAGGAATGTTTGAGTAGAGTGGCATCGGATAGGGAGCCGTCGGGAGGGTGATGCTTGCGGTTTGCGTTGGTGTGATGGTGATCGAAGAGTTGCTCATCGATAGTGATCCCGGAATAGAGGGTACGGACGGAGAGCTGCTCGTTGCGATGGACATAGTTATTTGTGATGGTTTCTTTTTGTTGTCGATCAGCGGGAGCATAGACTTCGGCTGTTGACCTTGCTGGATGTCTTGATTGAAAGTGGCGTTAGGGATAGCGTTGATCTGGATGGATTGCTGCTGCTGCTGTTGTTGTTGTTGATGATGTAGCAGCTGTGATTGACTAGTTGAGAACGTGGTGTTGGAAATGTTACGCGAAAACGGTTTCATATCTGGCTTCTTCAATAGGGAAGATCCTTTAGCAGGTTGACTGGTTGGAATGAACTCCAAGGTATTTTTCATCTGGGTAGGATTGATCTTTGCTGCCGAGCTGTTGATTTGTTGGATCGGCATTTCGTTGTTAATACTTGGTTTGATTGGGATCAATTGCGGTTGAGAGCTAGTACTGACGGGTAGATTGAACTGAGCAACTTGCTGGATAGTTTGCTGTTGGTTCGATTGGGGTGACTGTGGAGAACTGTGCGGTGGTGAAAGCAACATGGTCTTTTGTTTTACCGGTTTCGCAACAATTTTAGGCTTATTATGGTTGATGGTTTTGGTGATAGGCTTCATAACGTTCGACATCTTGGTAGTAGTGGCCATAGTCGTTGTTGTAGTGTAAACTGCGGCAGATGCTGCAGAGTGTAGGCTGATTTTATGATGACCCATTGAGGTGTTTACCGAATCCGGCATAGATTTAATCATAGTATTAGGCATCACTTTGTTCACCAACTGTGGTTGAGCTTTCGGAATGATATTCTTGACCGTAGTAGTACCTTTGATAGGATTTATCACCGTGGCTTGGGATGGCTGTTGTTGTTGTTGTTGATGTTGTTGTACAACCGTGGTCTGTGGTTCGATTTTCCAAGTTTGAATCGGAGTGGATTGACTTGTAGTGACGGTAGCTTGTAGATGTTGGGTTTGAGGAGCTAACGTTGTCACCGGGGACGGCTGAATTTGCGCTTGCTGTATTATTCCATTCGACGTTTGCAGTTGCATCGGAGCCAAACTTTGCTGCGTAGTAGTACCGTCATTGTTCAGTACTACGTAGCCCGTAGGTACCTCAACGATCGGTTCAATTTTGCTCGCTTGGAACACCTGGGTCGTTGTAGCAGAAAAGCTCGAATTCTGGCTCAAGACTCCTTGCATTGCGGTGGAAACAAATTGCTGCGAAGACATGACCGTATTTTGAACTATTGTCTCTAATCCATAGTAAACAGATGGACTGGTCAAGTACATGCACCCGGAAGTTGGATCGGTAACCATTTCCAGGGTTGGTGTAGCGGCTGCCCCTAGTACCATTTGCTCCGTTGACATCATTCCGCACTGAATGGTGGTAGCTTGCGGTTGGATGATGGTACCGATGACCTGCGGTTGTGGAGCTGCCAACTGTAGAGCACTGGCAGGAATCATCGAGTATCCACCGGTACCGTTCGGAATGAGGATGTTGTTCGCCGATGCCGTTAGCGTTCCATCGCCGGCCGTGGCCATAGTGTAACCATTTTGCGTGAGGACGTTCGGAGCCAGATACTGAACTTGGTTTTGATCGGCTACATATGAGATCTGATTGCCACCGACCTGTTGAACGATGATCGGTTGATTCGATTGTTGGAAGATGATGGGATTGCCGGATGTCGTTGTAGCTTGCTGCGGGGTAGCTGCATTAGCTGGTCTTATCAACGGGTAGGAGGTGTTGATCAGCTGGATTTGCTGCTGTTGCTGTTGGCCGGAAACTGGTTGGCTAATTGTCTGGTAGGTTTGATGGTGGGGCGTCGGGGCTTGTTGAATCGCGATTGGCTCGTGCTTTTTTATCTGAATGGAGTTCTTTGAAGCGGTCGAAGTTTGGTTGTTGCGCTTGGCTTTGATAGGCGTTGGACCATGTGATACTTTGGACATAACCTGTTTCTTCGGTGAAACTGTAGGGAATATCAGTTGTTTCTTCTGGGTGTTCTGCATTAGGGAACCATGTTGCTGCTGATGCTGCGGAGTAGTAACCGTCACTATCTGCGGTTGGCCATTGGGGCCTATCGAGATGATTTGCTGTTGTTGTTGCTGTTGCTGGGGAATCATACTTATCCCGTTTCCCGTGTTTACCAAACTGTTCCCAAGAGAAATGGTTTGCTGAAGCTGATGATTCGAAGGAGCTGGTTGGATGTAGCGTTGTTTGTTTTGTACGTAGTTCTGCTGATTATCCATTGACTGCTGAAAGTTCATAGGTTGAGCAAAGATTTGTCCTTGATTGGAGATGATCATGTTTCCTCCCAGGTTCGAGAGAGTCCCTTGAAATGGGATGTGGTGTGTGCCTGCGGACGTTTGAATCGGGATGCCGGATTGGAGCTGGTTGATCGTGATCGGCATCGAAGATGGTATATTGGAGAGGATAGTTTGATTGTTTAGGTTGTTCAAGTTGATGGTCTGATTGTTGAGACCGGAAATCACAGAAATGGTGGGATTCGTTGATTGATTGTGATTAATTTGCCCATACATATCGGTTGTAATCGTTTGAGATGAAGACGTTTGCGGTAGAATAAACGTTCCAGCTCCAAATTGGTTAACCACCTGTGCTTGTTGCTGCTCGGGACTGAGCAACCTGGGCGATCGTGTCTCGGAATCGCTTTCACTGGTTGAAAGTACCTCACATGAGTTTAAATGCCTTTGGTAGGATTCTTGATTCCGATAGGTGGCGTGGCAGCGATCGCACTTGACCGGAGCTTCCATCATGTTTGAAGCATAGATTTTTATCTCTCCCGAGTCGCCACAAAAGTCATCCATACCGTCCAGTTGCGAGATCTTCAGTTTTTCAAAAACGTTCATTCCGTCGCTCAGGCTTTCACAGGAGCTTTTACTCTTACTGGCACTCCAGGTGAATTCCTCATTCGGTAGGGATTTCCTTCGTTCTAGAATACTCCCAGAGGAATCGTCCTTGATTCTACCGAGCGAAAGCACGTCAGCGAGTTTGCTCATTTTCCGTCGTTTCGCCATTACTGCCGCGGTTGATTCGAACTTGGAATTCCAGGAAAAACTTCCCGAGCGTTGACCTGCAACGCGTCCTCCTGCTACCGCTCGTGACAGAATATCCGACTTGCTGCGTTTCAGTTCTCGGCTGGACGACGGTTGCTTGATAGCACTCAACAACGCGTCTTCGATTCCCGGCTGCGATATACTTTTCATCCAACCGTCATTGCTTAACTCCCCGGTGCACTTCCTAATCGCTTCATTGATATCATCTTCATCGACGTCCATATCGTCGTCTTTGGATCCTCCGGTAGCATTGCTACTGTTGCTACTGCTACTGCTAACCCCTTCTACTTCCTTCAAGATCTCCACATTGAAGTTGTTTTCATTCTTTAGATCCATCGCGATCAGATCATCGTACGTCATCAGTTTGGGCAGTATATCTAACATACTGATGCCGTCTAGAATATCGTGCGGGATATCTTCAAAGATGGCATCTTTGATTTCCTGCGGCAACAGATCGTTGTTATTCTGCGGTTCCTCATCATTCGTATCGTCTCCAGGTCCACCAACCGCTTCCAGCAACTGCTTCATCGTTCTATCCTTCTGCATTCCAGAAGTGCTGGGCATCGGTTCCGGTTCTTGCTCATCACTATTCAGACTACTATGCCACTTGGAGATTTGTGTCAGACCCCAGTGAACCAAACTGCTGTTCAGTGAGTGATCTACCGTAAAATTTCTCCCAAAGTCAGTCCCGTAGCAGTAGTTGTTGTTCTGAATCGTTGTCTTAATCCTGTACTCGACAATCTTCCACGGTTCCTTCGAACTCCAGTATAGCCGAGTGCATTCAAAGTCCGTCGGTATGATCGCATCCGGATGATCACTGAACATCGGAACGAAGTGACCCAATTTTTTCACGCTCAACGATCCGATCATGAACTGCACCTTGGACGGCTCGACATACTTCTTTTTCCGTCGATCCAACTCCACGTAAACCGATCGGTTGATCTCGAAATTTTTCTCAGCGTGACACTTTTTCTTACCCGCTTCCGAGGAATGTTGCAGGCAGTAGACGGTTTTGTCCTGCATGAAAGTACAGTTTATCTGTCTTGCACATGGGAAGTGGTAGTGTTCGCCGCAGTTCTTCACGTTACATCCAACGGTAGCACCTTTCACACCGCAATGGCAGCATTTGATCAGCCGGCCTCTGGAGGCGGCAGAGTGGACGTTCTGCAGGGATCCGTCGATTTCTTCAAATACCTCTGCGGACCATAGGGCACAGTTTGTGTGGGCCCAGTTATTCTGACCGCAGTACAGCAGTCGAGACTCGTGTAGTGGAAGCCCTTCACCTGGCTGTTTGCAAAACATGCATGTTCGGTTATCTTTGACGTCGGATGACTCGTAGAAATAGTCATCGATTTCCTCCAACGGGATATCGATGCTAGGGACTCGTTGATCTGGTTCTACAACCAAACCCGCAGTATGATTGTATTCGCCCATTTCTTCTCCGCACATGGCTTCTTCCAAAGCGTCCGTACAGGCCTTGGTTTCGTTCTGAAACCAAGGAAATGTTTCGCTCAAGAATTCTTTATAAGCCGTCGACAGTTCCTCCGAGCCGATCGAGTTGATGAGAGTGTTCATGTCATAGTTAAAGTCCTGCAACGAGTAGTACTCATTGGCATTGATCTTCTGCTTTATCTCCACCAGGCTTATATCCGAAGGCTTCGCAGGCCTCACCGAACAGTAGCACTTGGTGGTCGGTGGAAAACTCGAATTGCTGCTACTGTTTTCGCTGTTGAAATCGTAAATCGAATCTTCGTCCAGTTTCGCTTTCTTAGCAGCGAAGCTCCCATCTTCTTTGCCAGAGCCGTATCCATAAAAGGATATACTTTTTCCAGTACTTATGGAACAGGTGCAGTTGTTGGTCTTCTTCCGAGGGCTTAGCTTCAGTAGAGCGCATGCTTGCCTACTTTTACTAAGCAACTTCACTACACTGAGCAGACCGGCCTTAAACTCCCCTGCCACCGCATCCCTCCAGACGTTAGCACATTCATTGTTCTTACCGCATTTCTTGCAGATGAACTCAATGTTCTCCGGCAGGGCACTCAACATGTTGTACTGTTCATCCGTTAGACCTTCACACTTGGCATGAACCCACCGCTTACAATCGCCACATTCCATCATCTTCAGATCGAAATCATTATCCTCATAGCACCTTTGACAAAGTGGACAAAAGTTACCCTTCTGTCTCAACCGGAAACACGGAGTACACATCGGTAGATTACCAATAAACTTTGTCACATTGGTCGTCGAACAACTTTTGCACTTCAAACAAGCGGCACAGATTAGCGGTCGATCCGCCCCTAGCAATCGCTTGCTCGTTCCCAAACATGTCGTATGGTAGTTCTTTCCACACTTTTGACACTTGACCTTACTCCCAGTCGCCATATTACACGTATAGCACACCGTACACCGTGGACACATCCAGTTGAACCGGTTCAGCGCTTGCTGCTGAGGAGAACTTCCCGCAATCAACGTAGTACTGGTTAGCTCCAGCAAGCTCACATTGGTATCATCCAGCGAAACCTGTCGAATGTTATACTCGTCTTTCACGCAATACTGATGGTACGGTTCACAACAACAGACACAAAACAGCATCTCGTCCAGCCCGGAACTGCCACACAGGAAGCACAGCGCTTTGATCGGGATTTCTTCCGAAAGAATCAAACCAAATCCCGTTCGACTGACTTCTGCCGGGTCGTAGTTTTCCCAGAAATCGATTGAAATCAGTGGCACGCTTGGAGCCTCCGGAGTGATTTGCTGTCCTCCAGCCGTTCGGATGTTCGTATTGAAACTCTTCGTGATAGCGTTAATGTTCTGCTTGAGCACCTGCGGCCGAATGGAGGACGTAGCTTTTCGAGTAGTTGGTCGCTCGATTTCTTCCATCTTCCTGACAGCGACTTCTTTCTCTCGGACTTCCACTTCAACCTTTACCACCGTTGGAGGTGGAGTTGGAGGCCTAACAATTTCCACTTCCTTGGTCGGAGTGCTGGAAATCGATTCCGGAAGTTGATCCTCATCAATGACCAGGTCCTTCTCGGTTGATCCACTGGTATCCATATCGGCTGGAGTGGCCGGTGGCGACAACGTCAACTCGTCCGGTTGCTTGCACTCCGCGCACGATGGTGGCGGTTGAGATTCCTCACTAGGTTGGGAGACTGCCGCATCGATTAGCGTCTCCAAGTTGGAAGCCAGATCGTCCACCACATCCGCTACGCATTCGCTGGGAGGCGTTTCAATATTCTCGAGTGCTGTTGCGTCATCCGGGAAGGTGGCCAACGGTTGACCCAGTACGATGGAAGCGCTTCGGCAGACGTGTTTCACGCGAGGACCTTTCAGATCTATTCGTTGTCGTTTGTCTGTGGGTGCCGTTGTAGATGCTGCTGGAATAGTACTGGTGCTGGTGGTGGTGGCGGTTGTGGAACTAATGCTGGTTGTTGCTGTTGCCGCAGTTGTAGGTACCACAGTCGCAGATGTTGCAACAGTCGTGGTTGCAGTGGCAACTGCCGAAACTGCAGAAGCACTGGTAACAGCCGCGGCTTCAGTCTTACTCCTTGTTCTGATGCTTTTGGCAGAAGCATCATCTACTTCAGATAGCTCCTTATCCTTCTTTTCGTTACTTGGCAGAGTAACCTCTTCTTTCGAGATTGAAGGACTTTTATTACCCTTAGGACTGGCCAGTGCACTCGGGGCCAAAATCGAAGATTTATCCGGTATATTAAGCTTGATCGGTGGTAGGCTACCGAAGGTGTTATTGTTTTGTGCTAATGGGTTCGCCAGCGACAAGAATGTATTCGTTTTGGCGGCAAATTCAGGTTTTTCCATACCCGACGTATTCCAGAGTATTCGAGAGCTCAGACCACTGACCAGACTGTTCGAAAAGATATTATTCTCTACCGGTTCCTTTTTAGTGGAATTAGTATTCGAGTTGCCATTGGCTGCTTCTACTTGTCGGAGGCTCACCGGAAGTGTCTGCGTTAACCGAATCTTTAGAACCGGCGGCAGTTGGAAACTACCCAAACACTTCCGCAGCCAGCATGCATGGCATCGTTCCTTGAATATGTGCCTCGTCTTGGCGTGATCCGTTCGGGTCAACATTGGGGGTCCAATCGAGCACTTTCCTTCGTTTTTACACTTCATCGATACGTGGCTGTTGGTAGGACTCGATGAGCTGGCCAGTTTTTTGATCATCTTGGAAATGAACTTTCTACAGACATCGCAACAACCGACGCCGAACTTTTTCGTAGCCTGTTGATAATACCGAGTGTTGGATGCTATTCCACAAATACTGCAATTAGGTACGGAAGATGAGGGCGTTGCCGGCGCAGAAGGAACCGCAGCAGCCGTTAGTGCACTGGAGAAGATTTTGGACGAGTCCAGTTTGGCACCGGGCTTGAGATGTAGAGAAAAGGGGCCTTCCGTTACAGCTGATGGCACGAGAGATGAAGACGGTGCAGACGGAGCCGCATTAGTGCTGCTTCCACTGCTGGCGGCTGTTCCGGACGATGCCAACGGATTTGAGTTTAGAAGCGAGGTGGTAAACTGAAGCCTGGGCTGCCGGAGAATACTTTTGCCGAAGATGGACGTCGCGGACGCAAGGCTGGACGCCGCTGCGTTGGACAGTAGACTAGATGAGGCGGTAGACGCGGAGAGAGCAGATGGTTTAACCAGCTTTGGGTTGTTGCCGTTGCCGGCGACCGCGGAAAGGCCACCGTCAAGGAGGCTGGTTTTCGCGAACGGATTGTTGATGCTGCTCGGTGGACGTGCAGGCTGCTCGCCGTCGTCCGTAGCTGGATCCGACGATTCTGGAAAAGGGAGAATGGATATCGATTGTATAGTTGGTTAGTGATACGAATGAGCTGAAAGATTATCAAGAATATATTTGCATAAACGGCTCTATAACATTTACCCGGGTTCCATTGGCCGGATGGCACGTCCCCTAAAAGAAACTTTTTTTTTTAACGCGCTTAAAAAGCAGATAACTTTTCTTAGATAACTATCTAACAAATTTTCGCGATAACTTCGGAGGATTTGAGTTTGAGAGCGGGTTTTCAGAAAATTTCTCCCAACATCTCTTGGATTTTTTTCTGGATTTCATCAGAAGTTTCATACAACTTTTATCCGGTAATTTCATACAACATTCCCAGAAATTCCGAATTTCTCCTGAAAATTTGTCGCAGTATTCCCTGGATGTTTCTAATTGCTTTAAAAAAAAAATTAATTCATCTTCACCGGAAGTTTCATCCATTTCTCAGCATATTTCTTCCAACTTCACCCAAGCAGTTTCTACCAACTTTTCCAGGAAGTTTTTCTTACTTCTCCAGGAAGTTTCTTCCGATTCCTTCAAGAAGCTTAAAAGAAAAGTAAAAACATTCATGCAACTTCATTGGGAAATTTTTCCAACATCTCCAGAAGATGTGTTCTGAATTTCCACAGAAGTATCCCCCGGACTACTCGGGTAGTTTGTTCCATTTTTAAGGATGTTTCGCCCGACTGCCCAAAAACTTGCGTCCAATGTCTTCCAGGAAGTTTCTCCCAACTTCCGTTAATTTTTTTTCCCAATTCTCGGGGACGATTTTTCATACTTTTCTGTAAGGTTTATTACAAATTCTCCAGAAAGTTTATTCGAACATTTTTATGAAGTTTGTTCCAAATTCTCCAGGACGTTTCTTCAGACTATCGCCGGTAGTGTATCCATATGGTGAATATGTGAATCCCGATTAGCAAAATCCCGGAATTTTTTAAATTTATCAATTTTCAATATTGTTTAGTAATTAAAAAGACAAATCTCGCGTAACATTTGAAAAGGGCCTATCCTCGTTGATCGATTCTCTTCATAGACTTTCTCTTTGCTTTACCACGGCAACAAACCTAAACGAATTTCTCGCTAAGCTCGCAGCACAGTTCGATAGAAGATAATATAAGCTTGCGCCTGAAACAACACACTGAATGGGAAATTCATTTGCAGTCGGGTTATTCGCGAAAGAGAAAATCGATTAAGAGAATCGATCAACAATGATAGACCCTTTTCTCGTGTTGCGCGAGAAATAGGGCTTAGATCTTCTAAGTATAACTCGCCCTTTGCCTCTATTTTTCGAGTGGATTTTTTTTTCACAAAATGGAATGTTTTCACTGCAGATGATTTCTAAATTTATTTACATTTCCGTACGTACCGTAAGGTTTGATAAAGAGAAACACATTGTTGAGATATTGTTAAAAATATAACACTGCTTGATATGATGATAGTGGTTTACCACCCATTGTAGCACGGAAACTAAGTCCGACAGCAGTGAGCTATCTACTCTGTTTGCCTTGATCAAGCTTAATAACCTCTGATTGTCCTCAACATGTCGCTGTATGATGGGCCAAAAACGGATTGGGTAGATCGACAGGCAAAGTCGCCTATACGCATCTACGGAACAATAACGAATCTCATTCCAGCAACTTGGTCAGCCCATTGGTTGAAAAGACAAGCCCCCAAACAGGAAGATGCCCCAATGAGTGGGGAGAAGAGCCCGCCCTTTATCCACGAAATGTTATCAACAGGGTACTAGCAGAAATTTTTGAGGTACAGGTTAAAAATCTAACACTGCTTCATGACCTTAAACTCGGCCTACGGATTCTAAATTAGGCCTATCGAAAAATGGATGTAAACATTCATATCACGCGTTCTCATTGACTTTGTTGGGTAGCTTTTGAACTAAAGTATCGTACCAAACGCATAATTGGTTGCTTGTCAACTCTGAAACAATGGATTTATTAGATGTTTTTTTTCTCGATAGGCCCAAAATGGGCGATTAGGCCGAAGTAGTGAGCTACCCAACCTGATGGCAATTATGCAGCGAAAGAACAAGCCTTTTTTTGGTAAAGATTTACTCTGTTTCACTAATTGATTCTGAAAAACTGACGTGAAAATTTGGCGGTATGTTATGGTTTTAAATTTAGTTTTTAGATATTTACCGGTCGAATGCCCGGTTTTCCCGGATTTTTTTTTAAATTACCGGTTATCCCGGTTCGCTGGCCACCCTGTTCTAAGTTTTCTCAAGAGGTTTCTTCCAACTTCTCCAGGAAGTTTTTATTGACTTTTTTTTCGACTTGTCATGTCCAATGTCATTAACCTGAACACTATTACTTCAATGATGTAAGTTTTGAGAAAGCATTCAAGGGTAATAAAAAACCCCACAGCTTTTGTGCAGTATGTTGGAAGTGCTCTTACTGGAGTTTTAAAACAAGTTTACTTGATTTTCGTGATAAAGGACTACAATGTGATTTCTGGGAATACTTTGGAAGTTCTCTTATCGTGTCGTTATCTAGACTTCGGCTCTAATTTAAGGACTGCCGGAATCCTGTAAACTTTACCGATGAATCCTTAAAAAATCCCAAGAATTTATTTAGGCTCACTTCTGAAAACATCCGAAATTCCAAGGAAAGTTCAGTATAAACATTTACCTGGAACTTCTGCGATCTTCATTAGAACATATTCGTACTTAGTTTACCCTTTTTTGATCTTCATATAGGAGTTCCTCAATGTAGGTATTATAAATGAACGAACGCAAAAACAAAGCTAAAACTAGTTTTAGACACCGAACCAAGATTAAGATTAAGATTCTTGGACAGTTTATATAAAAAAATATAGGGGAAATGGCTCTAATGTTGGCCTATGGATCTAATATTGTGCCCATCGCTAAAAATCTGATATTTATCAATTTTATCTAGATGAACGCGTTATTGGGACAGTACTAATGGATATTTTTGGTCGCTATTGAAAATTTAGTCGATTGCTGAATTTATGTATGGGCCCAAATTAGGGGCACTTAGGCCGACATTACATACATTTCCCCTATGCCCTCTTTTGTGAAGTACATACATTCCCGATAACTAATTGAACTTAGAAATCTTTTGATGTTATCTTCTTTCCTTTATTTAACGTCGGTCTCTGTTCCGCAATCTAGTGCCAATCAATGACCGACATCAATTGCCATCCATTGACGGCAATCGAATGTGCAGAAAAGCAGCTTCCACACCTGCGTAGGATATCGCACCTATTCAACACACATGGGCCGGGACCAACGGTTTTGCTTCCCTTCTGAAGGAAGACGTGACCAGAGATTTTTATGCCTCAAAAAAACCCCACCGACCTCGGCTGGGATTGAACCCAGACATATTGGGATGAGAAAGCAGTCACGCTTACCACTACACCACTGGCGCCGGCCCTTTTGAAGTTATGTAGGGGAAGGAGGGGCATAGTGAATAGGTGGGGTGTAGTGAGCATGCCACACTTTGGCTCTGGATCTCCAGCTGCAATGAAACAAATCAACTGGTAGTAAATAGGTTCAATATCATTATGATATTGATTCTACCATCAACCAATTTGTTTCGAACGGCCGGAAGTCCAAGCTGGTGCACGGGATGCTCACTATGCCCCACCTGTTCACTATGCCCCTCTTATCCTATACAGTTTTGTTGAATAAGCCACATTTTGCACGGAGATATGGAGATATTTGGAAAAGTGTCTTTCGAGTTGATGACATTCCCTCACGAAACGGCAATTCGGGTAAATGTTATAAAGCGCGTTTTCTTCCCATATCCCATACCTTTCTTGAGTCGATCAATGAATGAAAACTTAAATCTAAAACCTAAATACCAACATGACTTCATTTCTTACCTTTTCCATCCGCCTTCGGCGTCACTTTCCGACTCGCTTCCTCAGCATCCTTTTTAACCTTGTCCCGTTTCTTCTTCCCGTCGTCACTCTTCTCAGCGTTCCGTTCTTCTTCACCGGGTGTCACACTTTCTTCCGTCTCTCCCTTTAGATTCACATCATTCTTCGACACTTTATCACCACCGGAATTATCGTTGCCGGAAATCTTCCCTACACCACTTTTACCACTGTCGCCGGAAGCCGGTGCCACAGCGGCGGCAGCCGCAGCTGCCGCCTTGTTCTTCTTCTTAATTTCCAACTCGAATTCATCCAGGAACCGTTTGTTGGGCTTAATCACACGACTAGAATGAGCACTTCGTTTCGGTAGGATAAACCGCTTGTCACCAAACTGGGTACCACCGCTTTCGAGATTGCGAGCCTCTGTAGTTTCACTCCCCGTTTCCTGCGGGGATGCTGAAGATGGTGCTGTTGTTGCGGCTGCTGCAGCAGCTGCAGCGGATGCAGCGATTGCTTCACCCGAAGCTGCTAGGCTTCCACTGGATCCGGCCGAAAAGCTGCTGGACGTTTGTTCCGCCGAGGAGGTGCTAGACTTCTGCACTACTCCCGACAGAAGGGACGGCCGTAGGATGCATTCCGATTTTGAAGAAGCTGCTGCGGCTTGCATCGCCAACCGCTGCAATCGCTTCTTCATCTTCCGGTTGAAGCTTTTCTTCAGCCGAATGGGCCGTGCCAGGCATTCTTTCTTGATGATCGGTGTTAGAGGTACGGTGCTAGGATTGTACACTTTTTTGACGATATTTTCGTCCGTGGTTTCCAGCGTGGTATGGAACGTTACCGATTTCTTTTTCGGTTTCGGTGGCGGCGTTGCATCGGAGGAGGTAGGATCGGGTGCACTTGGAGCAGGATTTTCACTGGTCGCCGAGGAACTGGTCATGGCTGAAGAACTGCCTGGTGAAGACTGGGATGACTCTGAAACTTTGGCTGATGTTTTACCCAGCGAAGAGCCGATGGCTGAGAGCGAGGATGGTTTCATTTCGAAGCTATTTCCGGTTGACGATGATGGCGGCGGCGGCGGCGGAGACGATTTTTCGTTGTTGGTGGCTTTGGCTTCAACACCATTCAGAGGACATTCGTCATCATCACTTCGGACGGATGGCTGCTTGTCGCTCTTTTGCTCTTCGCTATCGTTCTTTTTGTTTTGATCGTCATCGTCACCGGCTCCTTCGTGATCGTCTTCATCTTCGTCGTCATCTTCATCATCGTCTTCGTCCTCGTCATCATCGTCATCGTCATCATCGTCATCGTCTTCATCCTCCTCATCATCTTCGCCGTTTTCCGAGCCGTCGGCAGCACGCTGAAAGATAGAAAACGAAACCTGTGATTAGCATAATTGATAACTATATCGTGTGCGGTTCTGATTCAATAATGACAGATTTGTATCGCGTAAAAAGTGTTTCTATAATTATGAGGCATCATAATCCTTGGAATCCGCGGGCAGAATCAGAAAATCAATTCATCGGACAACGGTGATTCAAATTAGTCTTGGAATGACTCAGGCGCGCCCATTCTTAATGCGAGTTCAAGCCCTGGGGCTTGCAGCTCTTTCATTCACTTTCGGGTTCAGTGCAAGGTAGGGAAATATAATGCAAAGTAAACACTCTTCTCCTGGATTCTCTTTCTTCGAACGCAGCTTCGAGTTAAAAAAAAAGGAGCCGTCGTCACCCTGCGTGCCAATTTTGCATTCTAGAGTGGCGTCGCTTGTTCTTTGTTTATAGTTCTCATACGCACACATACATTTTTGCAGCAGTGTCGAATGGCTCTCACGATCGAAGAAAGGCTGCTGGTAAGTGCCATTCTAGAAGCGGGGAGAAACACAAGGCGATATTTACATATATCGTGCGTGCATCAGAGCGCCTCGTCAAAAAAAGGCAACCAACAACCAACGCGACTGCAATCGTCGTCACGCAGAACCAGAATAAGGAAGGGCTTGGAAAGGTGCATGTATAGAAAACTGCAGTTCCCGGTCTTGGGCATGTCGTTTTGAGTTAGTGCTATATTTTTAATTGATATACAGCAGAAAATTACGACGACAGGCTGGAATACACGATGCGAAAAATACATAAAGCAACGCGCGTGGGGATGAGGAACAAAGGGAGGCACAGGCAATGAAAGAAAAATCATAATCTTAATTACCATCCTTTTGCTCATTTTTCATGATTTCATTGAAACCACGGGACGTAACGATGGTGTATGAAATTTATTGCATAATTATTTATGCGCAACGTCCCTACCCAAACCAGAATTGGCTAGTGAAAATCAATTATTGCAAACGAAAATGTACCTAGGTACTGGTAGGTTTATGTCAGACGCATTGCATATCGGGTTTTTGATCTTTATATTGAAATTTCCATTAAATGTGGTTGTCGAAACAGAACAAAACGCAGTTTGCACGGTCGTGTTGGATCAGTAACTAGTAATTAGTAAATTTGTAAATCTATGCTTACTTCGAAGGTAAAGTTACTTCATGGAATTGAAATAACTCTCGGAAAAAGCCCGTGAATTTCAATGACAAATGGGAAAAAATAAGATTCTGAACCTTTAAACAATTTAGGACCCCTAGGCTGGACAAAGATACAGTCACTTTGATGAACTAAATATTATGAGAATTTTGAAGAGATTGTAGAATTAATTCTGGAGATAACAGAGAAAAATACCATCAGAAGTTTTTTGAAGAACTCTAAGAGAGATTTGACTAGAATTCCAAGTCATTTGTGAGACTTCAGACGTTCAGAGTAGAATCTTTAGGTAGTTATTTTGGAAAAATAATTACAATTGTGAAGCGGATTCCAGCTCCATTGCTAATGAATATTCCAAATAAGTTCTTAGAAAAAATTTAAAAGAGTTGTGATGACAATTCGAAGGAAGTTCTTAGAAAATTTAAAGATAATTTCAAGTGAATTCTAAAGAAAGTTACAAGGATTTCACGGTAAATACCAGTGGGATCGGATTTCGACAGTGGCGTTCCCTTAACCTCAATCTACCTGTACACCAACTCTCAAAACATAAACAATTATCAAAATATTACTTGCAATGGATAGATATCGAGTAAACTGGAAGATTAAGTGTATTTTTCAACCGATTCGAGTATGAATATGGCATTAAATCTGGTTTTGAAAGTTGGTACAGAGGTAAAAATCTGTGGTAAAAAGTTAGGTTACGGGACTCCACTGGATTTTGAGCGAACAATTTCAAAGGAATTCTGTGCTGAGTTTTAAGAGAATTTCGAGAATATTTCCAAGAGCATCTCGAGAAGAATTTCAAGACGAGTTTTCAGTAGAACTTAGAGGAGAGCTCCAAGATAATTATGAGCACAATTGTATGACAATTCTGAGGAGAATTGCATGGAAAATATTCAGGCTTATTTTAAATGGAACTAAGCAAGGAAGCATTAGTGAATTCTTTCAAAGCGAATCTTAGGATGGATTCCTGGATTTTTTGGAGTATTCTTAAATGTTGTATAGACATTGCCAATGATCTCTCGAGAATAAATTGATTTTAGAGCAGCAAAAAAGGTTATCTTCCATTTAATTCCACTTAATTAATTTTGGTATCCATGACAGATACGTATTTCGACTACAATGTGCAGTCTTCATCAGTGTCATTCCCACTAAAGAACTTATCAAAATCTAACCCCCTTAAATACTCATCCCCTCTCCATTAGCTTACTTAAATCTTTGGTTTTTATTAGTTAGGTAGGTTCCGATTCAACACATTGTAGTTTCATTTTTATACCTAGGGGATGAGAACTCAAGGGGGTTAGATTTTGATAAGTTCTTTAGAGGGAATGACACTGATGAAGACTGCACATTGTAGTCAAAATACGTATCTGTCATGGATACCAAAATTAATTAAGTGGAATTAAATGGAAGATAACCTTTTTTGCTGTTTTATTTAGCATTCCGCAAACAATCCAATTTCATTATTACACATTTCATAAAAATCCTGTAATGAGTTTTGAGCGAACTTTTTCAAGATAGTTAAAACCAAACAATCTTGTTGACTTCTTGTATGTATGTAAGTAGCCACCATCCTAGCTTGGGTCTTGCCCTGCATGCGGCTCCACTCAACAGCAAGATCAAATTCCGTCATCATTCTGAATTCAACATACTGCTGTATGAAGGGCCAAAAAGGGTTGGACGGGCCCATAAGCAGAGGCACTTACGCGAAACCCGCGGGAATAAGAGAATCTCCTTCCAACAATATGATCCAACAAAATGAATAACGAAATTCGCAATACATGTTAAGCTTTCCACGGGATGGTTTGTTTAAGAAGAGCGCGTCAAATTCATTGCAACTGTTGGAGTGAAATGTAACTATCTAAAATGACAGTACACATTCCCTCCTAGACTCCGGTTGGCACTCCACTCCATTGTCCAGTTACAACTTCAATGATGCCCTGATGCTCCCTCCCCTCCCAGTATTTATTGTAATTTACATTATGAATTTATATATAATCATGTGATATATAATGTATATAAAATATGTAGTAGAATGAAAAATATAATAAAAATAAAGATGTTTTACAAAATACAAATAACCTAGATTATTGGGTCCTATACACACACTTTTTGTTTTATGTGCCATGAAATGACATAATGCATAATTGTATGTTTTGAAAATATAATACTGAAGTATTGAATCAATAGACCGAAAATCGAGATTATTTGGACATGAGATATTATATTTAAAAGGATACTACCAAACCGACCATCAAACGCACTGCCCACAAAAGCAGACACGTCCCCTCGAAAATGCAATCGAGGAATGTACAAGAACAATCCTCAACTGGAACGTACTCACCAAATCAATATATCCGGGAGCGCATTCCCGATGTCGTCAAACGGCAAAAAAAGGGAACTCGGTGAAAAAATTTGTTATACAGAATTTTCACTGAAAACAACCGCAAATTTCACCATCTAACTGCGAAACACGTTCAGAAGCACTTTTGGTACACTTTAGATATAAATTTCTTTCGAAAAAACTTAATTATTTTTTTTTTGCAAAAATAGTTACAAGTGAACCAACATCAACACCGATCGTGCCAAGCTCTTTCACGCACCTTGCAGCGCGTACATAAACTAAACAATCTTGTTGACTTCTTGATGAGAAACAAACGATTTTTTTTCCAAAAATTTTGGTAATTTCCCGGTTATGAGATAAACATTGAAATTAAGCATATAACCAGATGCGATTGAGCCGAAGAGATCACTCGGTTTGTTCCTCTGTTCGGGAACTATCACTACTGCGATCTATTGTAGTATATCCCGTGTCCTTAGTTTAGTGCATGTCGTATTACTCCATCACTATTGAGAAATAATGGAAGTATTCGTTTTTTTGCAGTTCTCATTCTTGCATTTATCGCAAGGATCCGACTCTAATTGAAAGGTCACCCTCCAAAGGAGCGCCCCTTTGTCAGTCAAAATTGGATTCCTTAGCAACAAAATTAAGGAATGACACCGATAATGACCATGCATCAGAACCCTTGTTCTTACCACTTCAACCTAGGGAACAACGAATAGTAGATTAGGAATCACATATATGAAGACTAACTCAATTTTTTTTGGGTTTAAAGTTTTTTTTTTTTTTTTTTAGCTCTTTATTTGTTCCAAATTCAAAATAAATTACATTTTATTTTAACCTAGGTGCTCCAGTTACTGCAGTAACGTACCAGCCTTAATTGTTATGATATATATCTAAGTGTTTTTACATTGTTCATGTCTTGGCAATTCAGTATTTTAAACAGGTTTTTTAAACCTGCATGTCAGTATAACAATTGATATCTTAAAACTAAAAACTAAAACTAAATCTTATCTAAGTATAAAGGGAATTAATCGTTGCAATTGAGGATTGCATCGATTTTTGCCTGAAATTATTAATTATTTTGTTGGACATTTGTTCTAAAGTCTCAACATTCGAAATTCTATGTACCTCGGTAGTACTGTACCAGGGAGGCAACTTTAAAATCATCTTCAGAACTTTGTTCTGAATCCTTTGAAGTGCTTTTTTCCTGGTAGTGCAACAACAAGACCATATTGGCACAGCGTAAAGCATGGCCGGTCTAAAAACTTGTTTACATATTAGAAGTTTATTCGTCAGGCAAAGTTTGAATTTCCTGTTTATATGAGGATACAAACATTTTATATATTTGTTACATTTGGCTTGAATGCCCTCAATGTGATCTTTAAAAGTTAATTTTTGGTCAAGTATTAATCCAAGATATTTCACTTGGTTTAACCAGGAAATTGGAACTCCGTTCATAGTGACTATGTGACTACTACTAGGTTTCAAAAAAGA